TTTAAGTTTTCATATAAAACCCAGTATCTCAGTAAGTGATGTGCTTTATGATGAGGAACTTCATGCCAGAAAATTTCTATTTATAAACTAGTTTCACTCTCCTAGCTACCTAAAGGGACACACATTTTTTTCCATATTAAAACAGGGACTGTTTTCTTTCTAGCTATGAAATTCAAAACAGAGTTGTCATTGTTTTTAGCACATGATCTAGCAGACCAACGCTGTACATCTTCAAGTTAGCCAAGTTAGGAAAAGAACTTAAGAATATTCTTGCTTAATGCTTTAGGTACATTAAACTGTTAAGGATCTTAAGTATTAATGACAACATTACAGCTAAGTTCAAAAAGTCTGTTAAAAAGCGTAGGGGAAAAAGCATAGAAAGCATGTCTATCTTAAATATCCATGAATGTGTGTGTGTAGAGAAGATGAAGATATTAATTCAATAGCAATGTACAACTTATCGTCAAATAATTATCACAGAATTTTTTTAAAGGAAAAAAATTTTTTTCTCCCCAAAAAGCCTTAATGCAAATTATACACTTCCCCCCAAGTCCTGTGGATTAAGGATACAGTATTTAATCATGCAAATAAATGACTTCTATCTTAAAATTTTGAATAATTAGGAAATCAAGAAATTAACTCTAAGGCACCTCAGGAAGCAATTATATAAGGAGCTACCCCTCTAAGACTGGGCAAACAAAGAACAAGTTGGAATTATTAAAACTTAAGCAAACTTTTCCAAATTCTTTTGTTGGAAAAGCCTAAAGGAGATCTGCTGATCCCAAATCTAAGCATTATAAAGCAGAAGGATGGACTTAGAAATGATAGACAAGAATTTATATGCTTCAGGCTTGATAGATGTTGTGACTACTGAGTTTGGGAAGTGAAATTAAGAAGCAGTTTAGAAGAAGAGCATACTGAGCATTTTTTTTATTCTGTGAAGGTAACAAAGCACAGTTAACTTCAGGTAGATGTCAAAGACTATCATGTCTAAAAGCTGTAATGCATGTTATTTCCATTTCTCTTGTGTTTATACTGTGAATAAAAGTTCATAAATCCTAACTATGAGATTAAATTTTCAACTTGAAGCATTATTGAAGTTCTATCCCACCTTTGTAAATAATGCTCACTTTTTAAACAGAGATTTTAAAATCAGGGATAAATACACCTCAATGATTTTATTATGAGCAGCCAGGTCCACTAGAATACTTGAATCTAAAATTAAGTCCAAATATACTATTTATTGCTTAAAATCCCACAGTGCTTTTTTTTTCCTTGTCAAATTAAGAGTACACTGCTCAGCCTGACATTTAAAAACCTCCTCATAGTGTCCACAACCTACTTTTCTAGTCTCCCCTCCCATTGCTTTTATCTGCTTCATCTAAGCTCCTACAAGGCTAGACTACTCTCTCTCCCTTAGCATGCCCTCCACATGCCTGCCTCTACACTTTTGTTCAGGTTGGTAGTTGCTTCTAGCTTGTCTTTTTCAGGGGTTCTCTCTCCCCGTGTACTCCATATAGACCTGACATATCCTCCTTTAAAGCCATCTGAAGTTATAAAACTCAGTGAAGTATGTCCTGATCTAAATAACTAAATGTATTTTCCCCTTCTGATTCTTCTCAGTGGTCTTTGTCTCCCCTGATTGTCTTACTTAACTTTATTTACTTTTTCTCTCAACAGACTTTTAAGCATAAATCTCCATGGTCTTGAAAGTACTTTTATTCTTTTTACCCAGAGACTCACTGTTTGTAATATTTACTCCTCCTCCAATATTTTCTGCTTATTCTCTGTGAATCCACTACTCTGTTCCTTTAGTTCTGACCAGACTTTGCACCTGAACCTCTACCCTTGGTGTTCTCTTGGTATCTTAGGCAATTTTTGTCATGATGCTTTTTCATATTCTGTTGTAATTCTTTAAATTGCCTATGTCTTTCATTAAGTCAAATGTCTTGCTGTCTACAGTGCAATATTGGCACTGAGCAGATGTGTAATATGCCATCATTTTGAGTGGACAATTGACTTGATAAGTAATTTTTCAAAGCTCTCAGTTAATAAGTAACAGATGTGTCTCCTAATTTCAAAACTGACTTCTACATCACAGATATCTTTGTAGCACCTCGCCAATGAGATTGTGTGTTTACTAGGAGGAGAATGTGCATCTCAATCATATACTTGTGCTCCTTGAAGCACCTAGTACACTAGTGTCTCTATTCAAATTCTATAGTTGAAATAATTTCCAGGAAGGAGCCATTAGAAAGTCTAAAAAGGAGAAGAAAAATCCAACGATATGCAGTGCATATTATGTTAGGCTCCTGAAGTTGGAGGTATAGTAATCTTCACTGAGAATTTTAAAAGTCGGGGAGGAGATCCAGATAAGTAGGGAACTGACTATCAAGAAACTAAAGGCGCTGTTCCTGGCCTAAATTTCTTTATTTGGCATTTTTTTTATAGTCCCAGATATAGAACTCGCATAGATTCATAGTTCTCTTTTCTAGCTATTAGTGGAGACATTTAGATTTTGATAAAATCTCCACTCTCCTCCCTCCCTGTAGATTGGAAAAAAGGAGGTAACTCATAGTCTTGCTTCTTGGTGGGCCCCATATCTGAAAACATGGTTCTAGCTGTTTGCTTGAATAGAAACAGGAAACTTCTGGGATAATGTGATTTCTCCTTGTGTACTTGGTATGGTTTGTGAACCCAAGAAGAGATCAAGTCATTTTTTTTCCTTATGACTATAAAAGATGTATATATTCAGTGAAGAAAAAAATTTGGGAAAGTGAGTTTGCGGTTTTTAGCAGGAGGGAAAAAAAATTACCACAATAAGATAACAGTAATAATATATTATTTTTATTTTGTCTTTTTTCTCTGCAACTCTTTTAGATAATTAGATTTATGTCTATGATTTTGATCTGTCCTCACCTACTATTATAAGCATCATTTCCTGTTATTAAAATCTTTTTTAAAAAAGCCTTTGCAGGAGCTGAGAATGTATCTCAGTGGTAGAGTACTTGCCTAATGTGCAAGATTCTGAATTCTATCTCTAGTGCTGCCAGGAAAAAATACCAAAAAAACTTCATAAAACACTAATGCATAAAATTGTGTTTTATAACCATATTAAGCATAACTTTCATGTTAGATGTGTAGGATCCAAATTTGGCCTTTATTTCAAAGAATTTTTCAGTGCAAACATCTCTGGTTATTTCTGCTTAAGAATTTCCCTACTTTTTTTTAAAAAGAATTTCCCTGTTCTAATTAGCCTCATCTCTTATAGCTTTAGATTTGCCCTCCACTGGATACTTGTTTCTTATATTACCTCACCTTGCCCATAATCTCCCATTAAGATGTGGCTACTCAAGCTGTGCTTGGTGGTGCCCACCTATAATCCCAGTGACTGGGGAGGCTGAGGCAGGAGGATCGCAAGTTCAAAGCCAGCCTCAGCAATAGTGAGGCGCTAAGCAACTCAGTGAGACCCTATTTCTAGATAAAATAGAAAATAGGTCTGGGGATGTGGCTCAGTGGTTGAGTGCCCCTGAGTTCAATCCCCAGTACCAAAAGAAAGAAAGAAAAAAAGATGTGGCTACTCAAAATAGAAAGCAAAAGTCCCATAAATAAGCCCATAGCTTTCCCCAGGTCTCTCTTTTTCTCTATTCCTTCACGTAATAAGATTTCTCAGAATATTATTTATATATGTGTGTCTGCATTTCTCTTGATACAAAACTGCATGGAAGGGAATTTTTTCTATTCTTTTCTGTCATTTAGGAAATACAATATATTGTGTTAGTATTTGCAAGTTCACAAAATAATGGTAAAGTATGGGTGTAGTAGTAATTGTTGTGAAGGAAAGGTATAGGTATTGCACCAACTAGCTTATTATGGAAAGTCAGGGTATTTTCACACACCAATAAATGAACTGAGTTCTAAAGATGTGATGGAAGTTAAAAAGAAAAGGGAGTTTACCTTTTAGGTCAGAACCATGTTGCTAAGTACAGTGATCTTCATGATATTATGTCCATGGATACTAGTCTTCATCCTTTTCTTCTTCTACTAAGTGGAGTGTGACAATGAGAGTCTTTCCTCCTCTGAATCTTACTACTTCTGAAATTTCCTTATGTCTGACTTGGTGTCTGTAGGTCCTTCTTTACCCAACTTCAGAATGTAAGAATTCCTTAAGCCTCAGTCATGGGCCTTATCAGTATGCACATGGGCTAATTTTTATATATTATCAGTCTTAAAATTTGCATTTTCTGTATTTTATTTATTTAATGGCAGTAAATTAAACAAATATTTTATTGCACAAATAATTATTTCCCTTTCTATTCCTCTTTTATCTTGCCTTTCTTTTTCTTCCTTCCATTTTCTTTCTTTCCTTCTGTTCTATTTTTTTTCCTTCCTTCCTTCCTTCCTTCTCTACCACTAAACTACCTTTTTTGTTTTGAGAGAGGATATTGCTAAGTTACCGAAGCGGTGCACAGATGATTGTTCAAAAATATTTATTTTTAGTTTTAGGTGGACACAGTATCTTTATTTATTTATTTATTTATTTATTTTGTGGTGCTGAGGATTGAACCTAGTGCCTCGCATATGCCAGGCAAGCACATTACCATTTAAGCCACATCCCCAGCTCCACACAGATAATTTTTAACATGAATTTGTAGTTACTGAAAAGGACAGAATAAATTGTTCTTTATTGCAACACCCCAAAATAATCAGATTTTTAACATTTTTGGTTTATATCCTTTATTTATATATTGAGGGGAAGAGATGGAAGAGTATAGAGGAGAGCCATGGAAAAATAGATTTCTATGTCAAATAGTCTGTTTTTATTGTTAATCACTTCTTTTTTAAATTAATAGCATCTCTTCTAGAGCAGTGTGAAGGAAGTATTGGTTTATTAGCACCTAGCTTAATGGCTGACACATAAGCATTTAGTAAATGTTTGAAGAAGAGTGAGTTAAAAAAAAAGGAAAGAAGCCTCTTATTTTTTCTCTTTCTTTCTAAAGATTTCTATGGAAAATGATTATCTGGGACCCCGAAGAATTGAGAGTCTACAAAAAGAAGATGCCGACTGGCAGCGGAAAGCTCATATGGCTGTACTATCTATTCAAGATCTTACAGTCAAATATTTTGAAATAACAGCAAAAGCTCAAAAAGGTAAGTCCCAGTAAAATTATTCTTTTTAGGCATTTTTGAAGATGAGTGATTAAGTATTTTACATTGGGAATAATTATACAGAAAAACATAGGATCATTCATCCTAGCAGTTAAAGACCATAGCAAATTAAGGTGTTTACTTTGTAGGCAGGCATATGTGTGTACACTTACCTTTCCTATATCAGTGATAGAGAATAGTAGTAAAGAATTAGACATACTAATATGGCCATTTAATCTTTGATAAAGCAAATCAATAGTGAGACAACACATATTGCAACAGTTGACCATCTACATACAGAAAACTGAACTTTGATATAAACCTTCCTTTAAATTCAAATGGATCATAGATTCAAATGTAGAATGTAATTCCAAAAGAAAAATCTATTTCTTTGAATTACCTAAATCTATAACTTGGGATTAGTCAAAGAGTTCTTAATAATACCACAGATATAAACTGTAAAAAGCTAAAAGCAAAAAGAGCACAGACTGTAAATGAGCAACTTGGTAAAATGTATCTCATCAAAAGTTTAAAATGTTTATACTGCCAGACACTTTAAATGAAACAATTAAGAGTGTAATTGAGCGTAAATATTTGGGTACATCTGATAAAATAACTTGTATTTAGGCTACATAAAGAACTCTCAAAAATCAGAAAATAATCCAGTGAAAAGTTGAAAAGAGAACTTGAACAGACACTTCACTAGAGGATAAGGATAGCAAACAAGTACAGGGGGGGAAAATGTGCAATGTCATTAGTCACCACAAAATACATATTAAAACCACAATGAGATAGATACCACTAATGTGTATTACAGTGACTAAAATTAAAAGTACTAACATACTAAGTAATGATGAGGATATAGAGTAATTGGAACTCTTCATTTCTGTTAGGAATGCAAAATTCTACAGTCACTTAAGAAACCATAAAATTATTTTCTAAACAAAGTTAAAGTTACACATGACCATGAAGCTGTATTATAATTTTTTAATGAAAAAGTTTTTTAAAAAGGAAAACACGATATTAAGGATAGTGTCTAGATACACAACACACTTCTAGTTGAGAAAAAAATCTCTACCCATTACAGAAAAATTAAAAAGACACAAAAAAACAAAACAACAAAAAACCCTCACTTTTGTGATCCTCTTCAGTTCTGTGTGACTTCTTGTGTCCATCAGTTCTGTATACAGCTTATAAGTGCAATGATTCTGTCATTAAATCCTCATGTAATTCATAGTTTGTTAGGTTTGATTCTATATAGACAATTTATTTTATAAATATTTTCAGTTGTAGATGAATACAACACCTTTATTTCCTTTCTTCCTCTCTTCCTTCCTCAGGGGCACTTAATCACATCCCCAGCCCTATTTTTTTGTATTGTATTTAGAGACAGGGTCTCACTGAGTTGCTTAGTGCCTTGCTCTTTGCTAAGGTTGGCTGTAAACTCCCAGTCCTCCTGACTCGGCCTCCCAAGCTGCTGGGATTACAGGTGTGTGCCACTGTATCCTGCACATTTTTAATTTGTTTTAATGTGTTGCTGAGGATCGACCCCAGTGCTTACATGTGCTAGACAAGCACTCTACCATTGAGCCACAACCCCAGGACCTGTGTAAACAATTTATAGATTATTGCTGTTATTTATAACTTCTCCAGTTTCAGATGTTTTTTCCTATGGGCATTATCCTAGGATTCCACATGCTTCAACAGAATCATTTCAGATTTCTTATTATCTAAATTCTAAGCACTTTATCATGCCCAAAAGCCTTTGAGCTTGAACAAGAAAAGATAATTTAGTTTGTTTTATGCTAATTAAAGTGTGTTTGGATCAATCATGTAAGACCAGAATGAGCCACTACAGTGCTACTTATCAGTGGTATACTTTTTTAACTGGAAGATGTTAGCCTTTTGACTACTAAGATTGTGTGTGTGTGTGTGTGTGTGTGTGTGTGTGTCCATCCTTTTTTTGTACTGGAGATTAAAACCAGGGGAATTTTACCGTTAAGCGATGTCCCCACATTCTAAGTTGCTGAGGCTGGCCTGAAATTTGGATTCTCCCTCTTAGCCTCCTAAGTTGTTGGGAATATAGGCATGTGCAGCTTCACCTAGCCACCAGGATTATATTTTTAACTAGGTCTGCACTGATAAACTAAAAAGTTCTTCCTTTTTGATGGGTGGGTCAGGGCTATGTCTTCTCTGAAAATCAATTGTATTGTTTTTATCTCCTCTGCATGAGCACCATGTTATCTGGAACTTATTTCTCTCCCACCTCAGGGTGTTATGATATATTTGGAGGGAAAAGAATGATAGAACTAGGAATGTGGATTTGAATGTTTATAATCTTAAATAGTCATGGTTTTTCCTTCATCTAGCATAGTTAGGACAGATTGTCAAAACCTTAACAGAATAAAGTTCTGATAAAAGTTTTGAAAGTTACTAACACTAGACATGAAAGTATTTGAAAAAACATTTTAAGCTACTTGGACACTAAGTTTCATCTGCAGAACATTATTTTTGAAACTGAAGACATTAGAGAGACTGTACAGTATTGTCATCATATTTTAGAGATGTTGGTAGGTAACTTATGAAGATAAGATTCATGTGGTCAGTGAAACCAAAGATTTTCTAATTCTGTAATGTCAAGTTCTATTTCTTAGTGTCATTTTTAAAAATGATTGTATTTTAATAGCTGTGTACGATCGAATGCGAGCAGATCAGAAGAAATTTGGTAAAGCATCATGGGCAGCAGCTGCTGAACGTATGGAAAAACTCCAATATGCAGTTTCTAAAGAGACTTTGCAGATGATGAGAGCTAAAGAGATCTGTTTGGAACAGAGGAAACATGCACTAAAAGAAGAGGTAACAAAACCCATCAGAAATTAACTTAAAAAAATAGTTAACTATTTTTATCTATTAAAAAATAGTTAAGATTTGGTATTTTTGTCTTTATACAAGACTGATGTTTTTATTGACTACATAGACGCTTGTTAATTTCACATTTTTTTCTTGAGAAACACTCATGATTGGCCAATGCTTAACTTGCTACTAATAGAAGAGTTAGGCACATAATGATATTTCACAGCATCTGTGTGATGGTAGATATACCTCGAAACACAAGAGGGATGACACCAAAACTTTCTTTTTAAAGATTTTTTTTTTTTTGCACTATGTAAGTTTAAAGCTTCCTAGAATTTAAGGATAATTCATTGCCTAGTGAACTTTAGTAAAAAAATCCAAAGGTAGTAGCATTGTATAAGAATTAACCATATCATTTTCATGTCATCACCTTTTGGAACTACCAGTTTTATTTCAGATGGAACAAACAGGGTTAATAGAGGTTCAGTTTTCCTTACCGTACTTCATTAAAAGACCTCTTCATGGAATGAGGTAGATAGTACTTTAAAAGATGACAGAGATATTTTGTTCCTATGAAAGATTATTTAAGCTTAGTTAACCCTAGAAAAGAGTGACTGAGTGATTCTTTTGTTCTCAAAACATATCTAAGATGGTATTTTAAAAATTATTAATCACTTTTTTCATTGTTTTCTTGGTCTTTCTTTTTGTATTCCTCATGGTGCCCAGTATAGTGCTAAGTAATTCTTTGAAGTATTGAAAGTTAGATGTTCGCTATTTCAGTTTACCTTTTATGCCATTCTTTCAAAACACTGCGTTTTATTATGATTAAACTGGCCCAGAAAATATTGCCTTTACTGAAAGGGCACTTTAAAACACACACACACACACACACACACACACACACACACACACACACACACATATTTGTGTGTGTGTAGTTTTGTAAGTATTAGAAGAAGCAAATGTTGGCAATATTTTTGGACATAAGGAAAAGTAAAGGTATATGGGTATTAGTAGTGACTGAAGACTAGATCACCTTTTGATCTAGATGGAATATAGTAAGACTTGATTGTTTAGCTACAGCTGTTCAATATGTACTTTTTGTACCCAGAGATAAACTCAATATTTCAAAGACAACAAGTGTTTGAATTATTAAATTTTGGGGTTTCCCCCTTTGCTTCTCTTTATCCATTTTCTGCCTTGAGGTAGTTTGTTGTAACATACATTAATCTTTAAGTAATATCTTGAAAATCACATTTCTTTCTTTTTTTTAAGTTGTAGTTTGACACAATATATTTATTTATTTTTATGTGGTGCTGAAGATTGAACCAAGTGCCTCACACATGTGAGGAGGGTGCTCTACCACTGAGCTACAGCCCCAGCCCAATCACATTTCTTTTCCAACATAGTAAACACAGACTATTTCTAAAACCCAAATCATTCATTTCCCCATAGTGGGTCTTCCTCAGATCTGTCCTTTCTGTAAAGGACCTATAGTTCTTCAAGGTACCTAGGGGCCTAAACTTCAGGATTATCTTTAGTTCTCCTCTTTCCTTTGCCACTTTTTTTCTGCCTTTTGGAATTCTACCAAACTCAATGCCCTGCTCACTTCATTCAGTAAATATTTATGAAGTGTTTTTCCTAGGAGTTTCAGTAGGTGATGGGGGTAAAGAAATGAATATACCCATATACATGTTGTTTAATGGAACTTTTTTTAATCAGTTTACTTATATGTGGTGATGGGAATCGAACCCAGTGCCTCACTAGGCAAGCGCTCTTCTGCTGAATTACAACCCCAGCCCCTTGGTCCTTATTTCTTTATGAAGAACAAGTGTCCTCAATGTGCACTCTAGATTCATCAGCTTTGTGCACATACTTTGGAAAGATTTTAAGAGATTTTATATTATATTTATATTTTAGATTATATTTTTAAATGACCAATGATCTGTTTTAGTAGAAAGTGAGAAGATTTCCAGCTTCTGGTATTTGACTTTATAGTTAACTGTGTGGGCTCTATGGGCTGAAAGTTTTTCCATTTTTTTTTAATGACAGCAGACTGCATTACAATTTTTATTACACATAAAGAGCACATTTTTTCATATCTCTGGTTGTGTACAAAGTATATTCACATCAATTCGTGTCTTCATACGTGTGCTTTGGATAATAATGAATATCATGTTCCACCATCATTTCTAATTCCATGCCCCCCTCCCTTCATCTCCAACCCTTCTGCCCTATCTATTTCTCCTCCCATCCTCCTTTCTCTATCCTTCTATGAATCAGCCTCCTTATATCAAAGAAAACATTCAGCATTTGGTTATTTGGGATTGGCTAACTCCATCCATTTACCTTCAGATGCCATGATTTTATTCTCTTTTATTGCTGAGTAATATTCCATTGTGTATATATGCCACAAAAAAATCCATTCATCCACTAAAGGGCATTCGTGTTGGTTCCACAGTTTAGCTGTTGTGAATTGTGCTGCTATAAACATTGCTGTGGCTGTCTCTCTATTTCTAAGTCCTTTGGGTATAGACCGAGGAGAGAGATAGCTGGGTCAAGTGGTGGTTCCATTCCCAATTTTCCAAGAAATCTCCATGCTGCTTTTTATATTGGCTGCACCATTTTGCAGTCCCACCAGCAGTGTATGAGTGTACCTTTTCCCCACATCCTCACCAACACTTATTGTTATTTGTCTTCATAATAACTGTCATTCTGATTGGAGTGAAATGAAATCTTAGAGTGGTTTTGATTAGCATTTCTCTAATTGCTAGTGATGATGAATATTTTTTTATATATTTGTTCATCTGAGTGTCTGTTCAAGTCCTTGGCTCATTTATTGATTAGGTTATTTGTTTTTGTTGTGTAACGTGTGTGTGTGTGTGTGTGTGTGTGTTGTGTAACATTTTGAATCTTTTATATACCCTAGAGATTACTGTTCTATCTGTGTGAAGGGTAAAAATTTGCTCCTAAGATGCAGGCTCTCTATTCACCTCACAGATTATTTCTTTTGCTGAGAAGAAACTTTTTAGTTTTAGTTCATTCCATTTATTGATTCTTGATTTTAATTCTTGCGCCAAAGGAGTCTTACACGTACACATTTTTTTTAAAAAGCTATTAATTTTCTTGGCTGGGGATGTGGCTCAAGCGGTAACAGGCTTGCCTGGCATGCTCGGGGCCCTGGGTTCGATCCTCAGCACTACATAAAATAAAATAAAGATGTTGTGTCCACTGAAAACTGAAAAATAAATATTGAAAACTCTCTCTTTTTAAAAAAAAGCTATTAATTTTCTTTAAAAGCATGAATAACATGCAGTCACCATGGTTTGAGTCTTAGAGTATGGTGAAACAAGATAATTATAATATGAATATGAGCTATGAAATTCACTAGATATGAGGTAGATCATTGCCTGGCTTTGACCAGATAGTCATAGGTGGGGACAACTACCTATTCTAAGTGTACCTAGGAAGGTTAGAAGAGGCAGGCTGGTGATGTATACAGGGAAGAGGGAAGAGATGAGGTTGGAAAAGTAAGCCAACTTTGGGGCTGACCATCTAGGTCCTGTCAAGGACTTCACAGTTTACCCTCAAAACAAATTGGAATCATTGTAAGGTATTATTAATCAAGTAATAACATCAGGTTAGGTTTTTTTGGTTTGTTTTTAAATGAACTGTTACTCTGGCTTATTTGTAGGAAGTACATTTTGGGGTTGTTCTTAACACCATTTCCTCATGGGAAACTGTTCTTCAGATTGTTTTATTGTTGATAGTAGATACCCAAGTATTTGCCAGGTGTGGTATATCCAGCTACAGGGGAGGCTAAGGCAGGAGCAAGTTCAAAGCCAGTCTCAGCAACTTAGACTCTCTCTCAAAATTAAGTATTAAGAAAGGGTTGGGGATCTGGGCCTGGGGTTGTGGCTCAGCAGTAGAGTTCTCACCTAGTATGTGGAAGTCCCTGGGTTCCATCCTCAGTACCACATTAAAATAAATAAATAAAATAAAGGTATTGCATCTAACTACAACAAAAATATAAATTAAAAAAAAAAGATGGGGATTACGGATATGGCTCAGTGACAGAGTCTTATCTAGCATATACAGGTGCTTGAGTTTCTGTCCCCAGTACCATAATGAAGGGGAAAGAGAAACCCATATCTCAGAAATGTGCACAAACACTAGGAATTTAGGCTCTTTATGCAGTAATGAAGAAGATAGAGTTGAAGCCAACATGGAATTGGGAAGAGTTAAATTACACTTAGTGTTTGGTAATTTGAAATTGTTGCTTTTAAAACAACTTAGGGTTGCAGTGCATTTGGAGCTATTGATGGGGACATAGTTAAGCAGGTTCATGAAGGTCAGATACAGATTGCACTGTAGTCATCTTGTAGGCTAGTAAATATGGCAAGAAATGTATGTTTTTATTGGTTGAAGAGGAATGAGCTAGGATGAGTGACAGTTTGGAATTATGTTATTTTAAAAGAGAATTATACCTCAAGGTATAGAAATATTTGATGTATCATTACATTTATTGTACTTTGTAACCAAAATGGTTTTTATAATAACTTCACTAAAGCTGTGTGTATGGCACAATAGTGAAATGCATGTTTGTGTTTGTAAACGTTGTGGAGAATGGATTCTGTTGATATGCTAAAAAAACCATTGAATGTGCTCCCTAGGTGGATATAGTTTTTCCTCTCACCACTGAGTATAATGTTTTCATGTTTCATCCGTTAAAACAACATGCATTTCTACCTACTTTTGTTTTATTGCGAAGATATTTCATTGTATGGTTATACTACAGTTTATCAGATGAGAAAATTTAGGTTGTTTCTATTTTCCAAGCAGTTAAGAATAATACTATAAGTATTCATGTATTAGTTTTACATGGAATGTGTTTTCATTTCTCAAGGTATGGAATAGAATTGCTGTTTAACCTCTGAGGAATTGCCAGACTGTTTTCCAAAATGGCTATCACATTTTACACCCCCATTTGCAGTGTACAAGGT